GAGGCAAGGGGTTAACCCCTCAAGCGGGTTCGACGTACACGCATACTTCAGTATAAAGTCATTCCTTGTGGCAGTTCGACGACCATACATACTCCGTGATTTTTTAATATTTATTTGTGATATATTAAATTGTTACATAAGATTATACAGATTAATGTATTAATAGTGAATGTATTAACTCACTACGAAACAATGAATTCATCTAAATTAATTACCGTCTGTGCCATTTCTTCAGTAAATACTTACCCCCTTAAACGGTTAAGTAGAAGTGAATAAGTGAACAAACTTTCATCAATTTTAGTGCAGCGTTTCGAATATTTAATAATAATAATGTTCATCAATCTCCAGTGTTAAGACGAATGGTAAAGTTGATTGAATACAAGATAAAACATAAAAGTAAAAAAAACCCTTTGCGACCGTTACATTCTTACGACACACGGTTTTCCTTTTCCATTTTCTTGTTCCCGGTTATTAGATCGGTTCATCATCGAAGTGCGCAGGGATATCGCTTCAGGAATACTCGGAGCATGTCTCTATCGGAACACAAGCGTTCCGTTGTTCTGTCGGATGATTTCCTCCTGACGCAATTTCGTCTAGCGAGGTGTGCTCCGTCGTCCGTCACCGTCCCAAAGTAAATACGATTACCTTAATCTCGCCCGGTGTCGTCCTTCGGCATCCGACAACGTTTGTTCAACAGATACTTTCGCTCTATCGGTGCCCAGTCACTCTGAACTCCACTCGTAGGAGTGTTTGTCGCCGTTTTTTTATTTCCACCTTGTCATCACATAATCGATGTACTACACGTCCTCCCTGAAAGCCGTTAGGCGACGACACGACGGCGATTCTCGGATCCTTTAATCCACATTGGCCTAATTAGCCCGACAACGTTGTTAGAGGCCACTCGGTCGTCCTATGAAAACACGCGTTAATCGACTGGTTGCCACGTTGTGTGTGTGTACATGTATAATTCAAACGGTAGTTCGGCCTGCTCGAACTTTTCGGTAAACCGTCGCGTTTCCACCGGCTAACGAAGCGGGTCGAAGATTGCAACGATGGCGAAACACGAGCTCTTTATCGTTTGACAAACTGACGCGTATGTAGCTAACGGCCGATAAGGGTATTTAAGTTTCTGTAGTATCTGCCCCCCCACCTGGTTAGTTTTCAACGTGTTCAGTACACGATATATGCGGGTGTCAGCACCGGGTGAGAAGCTTTCCTGTGAAATTCTTAGGCGAAAAGTGTCAGTTTTACCGTCTTGTTCCAGTTCTGCGATCTAAATGGCATATTCGAAACGTATTGCTTCGAGTATCGGAGATATACACGGTGTTAATTTTAACTCGAGCACCTAAATTATTTCTGCTACTATTGAATTTAACAAAAAATGACTAAATAAAATGTACATGGTTTCAAGGCGTGCATCTGATGGTGATAAAAAAAATCCTGTGAAGGTCATTTTAACGGGGTTTTCAAGGTCATCGTACTTTTTTTTTTGCATATTAACATGTATTTTTTATAACGCGATGTGGCACTTGACGTCAAGATGAGTTCAATGTTCTATACACCGTGACCTTGAAGTGACCTTGAAGTGATCTTGAAGACGAAGAAATCAGCTTCAGTTTGAAGAATGCAGAAATAAATTGTAAACGTAATAAGAAGTAAAAGACTAATAATTAGGTGAATAATAAGGAAATAATTTAGGTGCTCGAATTAAAATTAACACCCTCTATACTATTGAATCGCACAAACAGCCAGAAATGTCTACGAAATCTATGGGAGAGAGGGAAAATGTGTTTTCGAAATTTCAATCGGTAGATTTTGGTTTGGATGATGCATCAGGTTCTTCGTACCTAGAGGCTGTAGATAAAGATGAATTTATAGAGGTCAATTACCATAAATTGACGAAGCGCCTTTATAAAATTCGTGATGGAGTAAATGTATTCCGAACCCGTGTTGTTGCTACACTTTATCGCACCAAATACGAAAAAAGGAAAAAACACTTCCTTATTGCGTGAAATTTACATTGACGTTTAACCAATCCAATGCGTCACTTTTATTTCTCTTCTATGCCACTATAGGGAATTTTCCCATTTAAATGATTATACATATAAGAATAGGTCCATCAAAGAAGGACTTAACGTGGGCGTTGAGAGCTAGTTCCGCGAGACAATGAGTCGCCCTAAAGGCCCATTTACACGTTCAAATAATGTGTGCATTACAGGTTCAGTCTACCTTGCACAGGTATTTTATACACATATAAAGAATAAACCAGCAGTTATGTATGAATAATTATGTAATTATTATTATGCACGGTCAGATTATGATCAGTTCACTGAATTTAGACTATATTTCTCCCATTGGATTATAAAAAAGAAAACTTAATTGAATGTACTGTATGTGATAATTCTAACAATTGGGACAACCGCTTAATCGGGCCAAAGGACACTAGTCCCGAAGTAACTCCAGATAATCGGAATCCATTGTAACAAGCAAAGTAATGGTAATTACTTGCCAGAAAAAGTAATGGTAATTATTTGCCAGGGGCATTAGCTGCCATTTAAGCGCAAGGATTTGCTTGCGCAAACATGGAACAATACGTCAGTTCGCGCAGATTTCTTGAACCGTGTAAACGGGCCCTATCGGTTCGAGTTCGAATGTTTTCGCGAACGGATTCGTCAGTTTGTTTGCCTCTGGTGTAACTCGGTCTCGTTGCCGGACCCTATTGGATTATTCGGCGTAAGGTGATTAGCGTTTGGCATTATTGCGTGAAATTTCCGGAAGCACCGCCGACGCGTTTAATCCATTCCGTTCCCGCGGCGTCCTCCATTGGATCCTGAAAAAACCTTTCTCCGCCCACCGTTCTCTCTCGCTCTTTCTGCAATCTTATTAATAGCGTATCTGTGTCGGGCAAGTGCAAGTGCACCCACGATCCAAGGAGTGCTCCGCGGTGCTGGATATGCATTACGGTTACTTCCTGTATATCGGTCTGATGCGTTTGCAGAACGGAGTGGCTTTTCCTAGGTTAGCGGACACCCCCCCCCCCCCCGAAAATAGACCGCGAGGAATCGATTTTTCAGGGGGTACTTCGATGGGTTGTTTGTTGCAAAGGAGCAACCCTGCGCGAAGGGAGCACTGACACTTCGCATTTCGATTATTTACGCTTCTCTCGGTCCACGGTAGGGATGGTCGATTTCGATTTGATTCTTCGGAAGATCGATTCCCCTGGGTAACACGTCATTGCCATGCATAATATATACACTGTCGGCCAAAAGTCTGGGATCAGAGTTCATGATTGATGGAACAGTAACTCATTCTTCTGTTACGATAAAATGAAAGTTATCAACGTATCTTCGTTAATTGTGTGTAGAATAATATTTTTCTCTTTCATTAATTGTCAGACCTGGTACTTTTGGCCGTTAGTCTATGTGTTATTCGTGGCAGTAACGTGTTATCTAAGGGAATCGATCTTCCGAAGAATGGAATCGGAATCGAACATCTCTGGTCTACGGGCTCTCGCCTTGGTTTCTCTTCCAGACGAGACGTTGTTTTCCACGCAGACGAGAGACTCCTCTCGTATCGATTGTCCGACACGCGGTTCGCCGGAAAAAAATACACAAGAGAAACAGAACCGTCGGGACAGCTGCTTTCGTGTTCGCTGAGGTAGGTATCGTTTTGCGCGGATTGAACTCGTTTTTACACCGTGTAATCGTTTTATTTACCGCGTGGAAAATCTGTCGATTCGATACACGATAACTCGTTCTTGTTTCGCGTGGCTCGACTTTGAACTTCGTTTCCAGTGCCCGAACCTGCCTGCGATCAAGGTTTCTCCGGAGGAAATCGGTTAAAATAGCATCGACGGATTATGATACTCCGAACCACAGAACTACGAACAGTTTACGAGTGTGGTATTATTATTCCGCACTGTCTGTATCTCTTTGTCGACAGTAATACGACGAAATTTCATTCAGCTGTGCTTCTTTATTGACTTTTTAGGGAGGGCAGTCAGGGCTTTAGACGGAAGAGAGAACAGCTTTTTGCTCGATTTGCAACTTCATTCATCACGTTGGCAGTGTAGCGATGTCTGTTTATTACGAAAAACATGAATGAAAGAGATATTGAATGTCGGGGTAGAAGGAACCGTATGTTAATGTAAAGAACAAGATCGATCTGTTGCTTTTGACCAAACGTATACATTCGTACACACTAAACACTAAACGAACAAAATTAGTAATGTATTGCGCGTAAAGCATGTTACCGTTGATAGTGAAATAAATTGAATGAAATAATCATGTCTATTTCAGTACAATATAATTTGATAACATATTTGCCATTTACACAGTAAACACCTTCAAACATCCTTGATCGCTATTGTCGACTTTGCCCACTTTCCGCTGTTTTCCCGATTTTCTAAATTCTAAATCATCTGCGCCCTGTTTCAGCCTTCTTCGACCATCTTCCGTGTTATCTTGACCATTTTCCTGAATTTTCTCAACAATCATTCTCACTGTTCTTGACCATCTTCTCCGACCGTCTTGTCTATTTTCCTCGATTTTCTTAACCATCAACCTCAATGTTCCTAACCATCTTCCTCAATGTTCTTCATCATCTCCCTCGATTTCCTTGCCCACCCTTGTCAGTGATCTTGAGTATCGTCCCCGATTTTTTGGACTATCTTTCTCAATTTTCTCAACCACCTTCCTCGATTTTCTCGACCAATTTCCTCAATTTTCCCGATCATCTTCCTCGATGTTCTTGACCATTCTCATCAGTGTTCTCTACCATCTTTTTCTATTTTCCCGATTTCCTCGCCCAATTCCAACTCCACTGACCTCCTTCGTCCACTTTCTCCGACCTGTATAACCACCCCAAATTCCTCAACCATCTTCATAACTTCCTCCAACCACATACAACCACCGTCCCTAACCTTCCCAGTCATCATCCGTGACCACATAACTCCGTTCTTACACCTTGGTTAACTCACATTGGATCCTGTTGGTCCGCAGATGTGCCAGCATGTCCGAAGCCGGGGCGCAGGAAGCAGTGAGCGGGGAGATCGAGCGGCAGGCGTCTGTTTACGTGTTCCCGGGATTGGTTCGTCCGCCTTATCCGACGGCCGTTTTGACGACTCCGTTACAGCCTCCACCCACTGCCCCCGTCACCGACATTTCGACGGTCATCGGGACCACCGTCGTCCCTACGGTTCCCGGCGCGTTTGCGAGAGGCGACAGCAACGACGAGGAGGCAGCGTCACGTGCCAGGAGACGACCACCGTTTCCACGGACCCACGCGCGCTCTGCCAGTCATGGAGGTGTTCTGGCGGAGAGTCTGGCGAATACGGGATTGCAGGTAGTGATGGGTGACCGAGCTGAGCTGTTCGAGCTTGCTCGAACGAAATGATACTTCGAGCTTGTTCGAGCTACTCGAACGAGCTCCGGTGACAGATTTATGATCTCAGGGGAGACCCGAGGCTCTTGCACTCGAAGCCTCGGCGCGTAGAGATATCTGGCTACCGGAAACTCACCCTCGGGTTACAATGTAACACACGGAATGAATCACCCATGAATAAAAATTTGAACTTTTACTCCTTTCAGTGTACTTTCTTGAAAATGTTATGAATAAATGTAGGAGATTCTCTTGATGAAAATAAGTCGAAATCCGACTTATTAAATATAGTCCGATTTATGTCGGGTTTGGACTTATTTTCATTAAGAGAATCTCTTCCATTTATTCATAACATTTTTAAGAAAATACACTGAAAGGAGTAAAAGTTTAAATTTTTATTCATGGGTGATTCAATACGTGTGTTGCATTGTAATCCGAGGGTCGATTGCCGGCAGCCAGATAACATCTCTATGCGCCGAGGCTTTGAGCTTCGAGTGCCAGAGCCGTAGTCTCCCCTGAGATCATAAATGTGTCGCCCGAGCTCGTTCGAGTAGCTCGAACGAGCTTCGTGATTTTCCCCTACTACTCGAACACGTTCGAACAGTTCGGTTACCCATCACTAATTGCAGGGGAACACGGGATCGTATCTCGGCCCCCTTTCAGCGGTCGGGGGCGCGAGACCCTCGGCGCTGAAGAAGCCTGGACATCAAAGGGCGTTCAGCCAAGGCCAGGTGGTCGACGTTCAAGGGCACTCGGTGACTGGACACAGTCGGGTCGGATCCCGAACGGACTTTATACTACCGCCTGGCCACAGGGAGGAGCCCAGGCCACCCACCGCTGGAAAGACACCCTCCTTTCGAGGTCACTCGCGACAGGCTTCCAGGTAGGATCACCTTTGCTTGAATATAGAATTACGATGGTTCTTCGTAACAGGTTACTAGGAAACAGACTATCATCTTCAAAAAGTTTCAGGAATTTATTTATGAAATGAAAAATACTGTCTTTCCTTGACTAGATTGGTTACACTTTTTACATTTCATTTTAAAGGAAGGCACTTCCTTCTTGCAAATTACGTAAAGAAATATCAGTTGACCTTGAGATGACCTTCAGTTTTGTTACATGGTGAACATAATGTTGAGAAACCAAAAGAAACGCATCTAACTAAAAAGTTGTTATGAGATTCAGAGGTTTTAAAAAAGTAGGTGCACAATCGGTTCGGGAAACTGAAGGACTGTAATAGTATTGCAAGAATGAAAGCGTTACTGGGTCAAAGAGCACTCGAAAGCTGAAGATAGGTCAAGTAAACTGATACATCTACAGTAAAACGAATGAAACCACATTCGAAAATTCAGAACATTTCGTCAGACATACGATTCTCGATAAAAAGTCGACGTAAATAAGACTCTGTAATCGATCCTCGAAAAAATTCTACACATAATGTGAAATCTCGACTCTGTAATACACGCGAAGCTGTAATCGCGGAGCTTTAAAAAACAAGAACGTTTTTTACTGCGGGAAGAGAGTCCGACTAGCCTGCATACTTACTCTTTTCGTCATCGTCGTGTTTGTTTGCTACCAATAGAGGCGTGGTTAGTTCGATCGTTTTTTAAAAGTGCGTGTTCAGCTTCGAATAATCTCGTTAATAACATCCAACGTCGAAACGCGTACTCGTGGACGTATATCGACCGACGTAACCCAAGTTTGGGTTCAACGCACGAAAGTAGGTTGTGTCGTTGGTAAAAGTTTCCTACGACTCACGAAAATATCGGGAATCTGATTACTTTGCGCATGTTTGTGCCTATCAGATCATAAGCGAAATCATTTTTTTCCCGCTCTTACTGGTAGCGCGCCTTTTTTCTCGAATAGTACAGAATGTTTCCAAAATGGTGGTTTTCCAAAAACAAGGGAAGGCACGGAAGTGTCCCCCTCCGATTTTGATGAAAGTTCGTATGTCAAAAATAATACGTATTTTTTTTATCGGCTGACGCGGGACTTTAAGGGGTAAAACCACCCCTCGAAGTTTCGATCCGAAAGTACTATTTCGAAAACCAGAGGAGATACATGAAAACTTCTAATGGACGAGGTTTGCGGTTTTTTATATAGAATAATAACAAAAGAATTTCGGATCGAAACTTCGAGGGGTGGTTTCACCTCTTAAAGTCGCGTCTCAGCCGATAAAAAAAATACGTATACCTTATTTTTGACTGCTTAACAAACGTACGAAGTTTCATCGAAATCGGAGGGGCACATTTCCGTGCCTTCCCTTGTAAGTAGAAACAGAATGCAGTGAACAGACGTGTTAATGAAATCCTATTCAATTTCACGCGTATCTAGCTAATATTCAAATTTGATTTTCTCGAAAACGAAGCATCGTACAAAAAAATATTATTCTACATTTTCGACTTACTTTCGTATGTAGACTCGTGTAATTGTACCACCATTTCGGAAACACTTTGTATATCCTCGGTTGGGGGTAGGAGAAAAAAAATGTCTGAATTAACGGTTCGATGCGAGATAAGTCTTCTGATCGCATCGAGAAACTAAGAGAAAGGAAGTGGACCGTAGACACGCTGGGTTTGAATTGTTCGCAGATCGGAGTCGATATACACGATAAGACGTAGCGCGGAACCGCCTTGGTGGAGGAGACTTTGGGCTCGATGCTTCGGCCCATTGCCGGAGGAACCTCGTCTGAGGACCATAGTGCCGAACCACTTGGTGCCGCCGAAAACTCCGCCGAGTCAGCATCCAAATGGGAGAAGGGTGAACAATAGGTAAACTGTCTGTTAACGATGGACTTTCGAACTCGTGTACGGGTGGTCGCTGATCAACACGTTGAATGCCACATGTTTTTATCCTTGAGATTGTTTCGGTCTATCATATTAAGAATCTAAATATTTACGCGTAGTCTTAAACACGTATTACTTTCATTATTACTCTACCAGTAATAACATTTATGAAATGTGAAGTGTTTCTGTTTAGAAATTTAATGTTTGTTTGTGCAATTTAACGGTATCGTTTATCGGTGACCACCATGGCTGTCGGCGTGTTAAACCTTCATGCATTCTGCATTCATCCGGAATTTATTCTAAATCCAAATCTGGTTTCTCTGTTTTTCAGAGTACGCACAACGAAGTACACGATGCTGAGCTTCCTACCTCGCAACCTTCTCGAGCAGTTTCACCGTGTGGCCAATCTGTATTTTATATTTATCGTTCTACTTAATTGGGTGCCAGCCATAAACGCCTTCGGCAAGGAGGTTGCCATGATACCCGTGATCTTCGTGCTGGGCGTGACGGCCCTGAAAGATTACTTCGAGGACCGGCGAAGACTCGCCAGCGATCGCCGCGTCAATAATTCCACCTGTCGCGTCTACGTCGGGTGAGTAGAGTAACCGTAGACCCGTAATAGTCGTTAAGTACCGCCGTTTTTCGAAGGTGGAGCGAACCGAATCGGATCGCTAACCCTCGCGGATGCACGCGAGCGAACCTGCTTCCGTGCAACTGGTTAATATCGTGGCTTGTTCACGGCCCGTAAAAGTTTCGGAAATCGTACAGAACGGAGATAAATTCCGTGTATTACCATAGATCGTACGATCAAAACTGCTGCTTCTAGTTTTAGTTTCAAGCAGAGACTTTTACCGAAACGTAAAATACCTGTATTATACCGGTATTTTCGGTTGTACCTTCGCCCTATACAACCCTATATAAGCCCTACCCTTATAGAAACCGAAAAAATACCGGTATTTATTTTAGTTTTCGGTAATATATCGGTTTCGGTATAGCTTTGATGGTATAATACCGGTATGAAAATCATTCAAGTCACGATACAGCGGATTTTAATAATGGTAAATTAGGTGGAACCATAGACAGTTGACCTCATTGCGTACCTGGTCCAGGTGGGTAGGGTCTTCGGGCCTAGAGCTGTTTTCAGCGTTGCTGAAATATTCAGAGCTGGTCTGAAAGAAAAATTTATTTAGAACGGATCTGCACAGCGCTGGACGATGTGAAGTCGCCTATTGCCACAATTTCCCTAACAAGGGAATTTGGGTTCCCAGAAAATTCCAATTTTTCTTAAACTTGGTTTTAAACTTAAATTTTTCTTAAACTAGGTTTGTAGGGAACATTAATACAAGCATCGGGAAATTGTTTCTTTTCGTAAATATTCGGTACTTCAGAATGATACCGCTATGTAAAGATTAATGTGCGTTTTCCTATTTTTCTGTATATCTTGAAAACTATAGTAGATACTAAAAAACTATTAGAATGTAAATTTAATGGTTTTTTATGTCGTATAAAAATGTGTAATGAAATAGGAAAAAACATATTAACCCTTAAGGGGTGGTTTTATCCGCAAGAACCGAATATAATCAAAAATGAAAAACTGAAGTCCCCTAGTCTAAACTCGGAATATCCGGGGTATCGAAGTTTCCTTGTTAGTGGTCTCCAGATGTAAACGTTTTTTGATGGCGCAGTTGGGTCCACTGTTACATATTACTATTCGTTGCCTCCATGTTTACGTTGGACGTTTGCCTTTCGACCTTCAGCCACCGTGGCATACATACTTATTCGGCCATCGACAAAGTTGCCGCAGTTTGGAACCGTTCATTCGAAAATATTATAATTCCACTGAAATTCAATGCCTTCCTTCTCCGATTTATACAATCGAGAAACCGTTCAGAAAATATAAGCATCATGGTCTCCATGCATCGATGACAAAATATTTGGCCATATGTGTTCTAATTTCAATGGACCCGATTCTCTTTGACCGAACTAACGACGAAGCTTTTCGAGGAAATATTTATCGAACGTGCGTAGCGACGAAGTCGACATAGCCACCTTCTGAAAGGGCTTTGGATTGTTCAGAAATTTTTTCAGAACATTCGGAAGACGTAAGAAACGGACATTCCTAGACCGTCCGAAATTTAAGTCTTGAGAATATTTGTGGGACTTTCGGGACGGACGTTTCTAGACCATCCGTAATTTCAGTTTTACGGACATCCTAGGAGCGAGGATAACTATTGTAGAACGACATTACGATATAGCACCACTAAACCACAGGACGGTCAGGAATAATTTTACCCCGAGGGATCATTTTAGACACCTTTCCCCTACTTGAATTATGTAATTTCAAAATATCACAATCCAAACGGAAACTCGCAAGACTGCCCAGTAGCTTTCCTGTTTGCTTCAAATTTCAAAGACTCGATCACGGTCGTTTCAAGATCCGACGTCACGGGTCGCATTTAAAGTTCTATCCCCGTAATGTTTTCATCGAAAGCGATGGGAGGATTTCTCGGAAGGGTAACCCGGTCTTTTCAGACGGTCAAAGACAACGTCTCGCGTTTTACGCGATCCTATTTTCGGTGGCGACCGTTTCGAGAATTCCATCGACGTTCCTTTGATCCGTGGAATTCGATGGATCGGCTTCGATCGCCACAGTCCCGCGGACATGTACGATGTAGGTCGAGTACGCGCGCGCGCTCTCACGCCCGATCGAACGTAGAAAAGAAAGTGTTCTCTCTTTATCCATTCGTGGAGACTGTCCGCCTGTTGTTGTTCATGCCTGGAACTTTAATTTCGCTGCCATTTTCGTGTCAGCCGCGCACGGTTATGCCAGATATTTTTTTATCGCTAAACATACCGCCAATTTATGTATAGACACCTGTTTCTTCGGAACCGGTCAAATCACCGGTATTTAAATAAAAGTTACGTTTTTTTCCAACTGAGCGCAGGTAATAAACAATTTAGTACAGGCAATAATATACAAAATAATGACTTCCAATTAACCTTAAATGATAATATAGCAATTTTCGACCAGAGTCATGTTACAATCATTACCTGCCATGCTTCCGATTAAAAAATGTCTCCCATTCCACAATTGCACCAATTGCTGTATCATGTGAAAAAACAAAAAACATCACATATCATCTTTTTTACGTTATTCAAATCTACTATCCTTATTACGTGAATTCGTATTAGGAATCGCAGAATTTCGGTGTCGATAACAATCGTAACGGAGATTTATGACCTCCGTTGACTACCATAGTCTCACCGTGAGTTCGCTCGCAAACACTAAATATGCGGTGTATCGGTAACCAGATTGCCACTGTTTGTACAACTGGGTATTTGTTTCGAAGTGCTTAAGTTTAATCTCTTGCATTCGTTGCTTGTCTCTGTTATCACAAGTCGCTTTGAATAAATAGAAGAATTAAAATTGCGTTAACACCTTATCAGAATCGTAGTGGATTTCTTGTTGGTACACCTACTGTAATTAACACCAATCGATATTATTGATATTGTAGGAAAACAAATGGCAAATTACATATCGTTTGGTGTACACAAGTTTCCTTGTACGTATGAGGGTTAATTCCTTCAAGGGCTTAGTTGTTGAACGCTTCCAACACTTTGTCCATTTCTGTTTGTATCTGATCGTTCGAGTGTGAAAAGTCGGTGAAGGGGCACGAAGAAGGCTGAAACTTTAATTCAATCTCAACCTTCGAAGTTGTTCCAATAGACGCGTATTTGTTTGTTCGAGTCTCGCGTTTCGAGGTCTAGGACGTACTCGAGCACAAAACCGGATATACGTGATCTCTCAAAGTCCCAGACAGGCGGGGGTAACACAGATTTTCCAAACACCGAGTCCTCGAGAATTACCAGAATCCCCTGGGAGGGGGGGTGGGAGGGAGGTATCCTGTGGAAAGGCCACCAAAACATCTCTTAAAGTTAAAAATATCACCCACAATGGACGTTTCGAAGCCGTCGTAAAACGAAATTCTTCCATCAGCCATTGATTTCGCGTGTTGGTTTGTTTTGTATGTTTTATGGTACATACATACAGTACCGAACAAATGAATTCAGACAAAGACATTTTTCGTTCCATTTGTTGTTATCGTGATTTTATTGAAGTTCTGCCCTGTGGAGTGTTTACGATTATTCCGACGCAAGCTTTCATAAAAGACTTCGGACGTTTCATTCACAAGCATAAATTGTAATCTGAAACAAGAACTTCACGAGAACATTATAATTATACCATTATATATTTATAATTATAGATTATAAGTATACCATAGACGGCTCAAATCGAGCGCAATCATCCATAGTCTCGCGATGTGCGAACATCCCCAAATATACGGTATATTCGACAAAATAAACAATTTGTTTGAGGAGGACATTTGGTAAATATATCGAGTATGGGCGACCTAAGAAAACAATTACACAAGACAGACGTTGATTGTTTAATGTAACGTCGGTAGTATCCTTAAGTCAAATACTACAGGAAATGATTCTTGTTCGAAAACATTAATCCGTTACCGTACATGCACAGTTCTCGGTACGATCGGAAAGGAGGATACAGTTTTGACACAGATTTCATCAGGATCCGTAGGGAGATCCGCGGCGCTGGATACCGCGCGCACTCGAACCAGAACGGGTCGAGCGATCGTGTCACCGATAAGCGTCGTCGATTCGATTGTTAAGCGACTGGCCGGCGATCGAGATCGTTTCGAACGCACACGACTCGACGACGACCTCGATATCGACGGAACGCGCCTCGATCTATTCTCTCGCGATCGCCAGAACACAACCGAGCGTTGTGGCACAGACATCGAAACGGATTTGGATTTTTGGGTCACCAGGAATTCCTCGGAACAACCAAGAATTTCAGCCACGTTGCGGTATGTACCATCCGCAATTCGGTTGACAGTTACTCGAGGCAAGAATGTTTCATTGTTCGCAAATGAAAGTCTACAGGGTGTAACAAAAATGTTGGAGGACCCGGAAATGGGAGGCTCTTGAGGTGATCTAAAACAAGTTTTTCCTTAGCAGAAATGTTATCCGAGGCTTCGTTAACAAGATATTAATGAAAAACACCGACCAATCAGAGCATGAGTCTGTCGGCTGAGTTCCCGCGGTAACATTGGCTACCAATCGCAGCGCACAGTCAACGTTACCGCGGGAACTCGACTGGCAGACTCGCGCTCTGATTGGTCGGTGTTTTTCGTTAATATCTCGTTAACGAAGCCTCGGATAACATTCTTGCTAAGGAAAAACTTCTTTCAAATTACCTCAAGAGTCTCCCATTTCCGGGTTCTCCAACATTTTTATTACACCCTGTATTGTGCGGCGTTTAATCGCTGCGACTCCGGGGTCGATCGTCGAATACACGAACACAGTAGATTTTATTTGGTACCCGAGCGCTGAAAATACACGTGCTCCTTCTGCAATGCGCGTCGACGGAGGAACGGTAGAAGATAGGGACAATGGGAGGGGCCGAGAGAGAGAAAAGCGAGCGTCCGTTGTATCGGTTAGCGACGATTGGATTGAGCGTTATTTATAATGCAACTCAATTCCGCGGGATTGACCGCGATCGATTCGCGCCGA